GGTGGCGTGACGTCGGAGTTGCGGGTGAGCTTTTTCTCCACACAGGGTGCGACGGCGACGGGTGCGACAGGTGCGCGACTTGCGCATTCCGAATCGGGCGAGGATCGCGCCTCTGCGCAAAATCGCAGTCCAACGGCCCGAGCGTTGCGCACAAGGGGAGGGCGGCGCGCGTTGGACCCTGCCCAGCCACCCTTTGCACCGCCCAACAACCTCCACCTTCCACCGTCCGTACCACCACCACCGTATTGCCAGATCACCAGCACTCGCTGCATCGTCGCATCGTACAAACCATGAGTGCAGGCACATCACCACCTAATCAGCCCGGCGGGCGTCCAAAGAAGAACAGCATCGGAAGCTGGTTCTCCAAAAAGTTTGGACGCAGGCCAAGCGAGGCACCTCTGCCTTCCGGCGATCCTTCGAGCGCTCGCAAGGGCGCTGCAAAGGATGGACGGTCTCGCACTTCGAGTGCTGTCGCAGGCGCCAATGCGAATGCGGATGGACAGCAGTCGCAGTTCTCGTCCGCGTTCGCCTCGAACGATGCACATGCTCTGGCCAACACGCTCACGGTGCCCACCAACGATGGCCCGGCCCAGGCAAGGCTGACGCCGCCCCCGCAGCTGGATGGAATTCCGACGCAGGAGCCCCTGGGCACGATCGATCTGCCCAGATCACCGCGTCCGGATGCTGGTGTACAGCCGAGCGGCCATGGAGCGGGAACCATGGCCCCGCCAAGCGTGCCTGCGAAGGTGTCGACGGAGCCGATCGTCGATGGGGACACTCACGCATCAGCTGTCCCAAGCGATGATCCTGCCACGAATGCAGCACCAGCCATTCCCACTGCTGTCGTCTCGGATCTCGTCAATCCATCCACCGATGCGATTGCGCCCACCACGGACGACGAGAGCAGCTTTGATGGACGCGACTCCATCGGCAACCGCACCATGGACACCTCCAAGAGTCGCGCCAGCACCAAGCCCACCACGCTCATGAGCCTCGATACTCGCGAGCCGACCGTGCTGCCAACCACTCACATCGCTCAGGGGCGTCGCAGCGGCGGCGACGACTCGTTCGGCAATCCGCATCGACTAAGCACCGGGCCCCGCGAAGGATCTGCCATCCAGTTTGCGCCTTCCACCGGCTCGCGCAGCGGCAGCGGGCAGATCGCCAGCACCAACAGCACGGGAGAAGTTGGCAGCAACTTCATCACCGTACCCTCGCACTCGAGGCCGCATCCGAACAACAACCCGCATCCTGCAGCGCAGCCCGCCGACAACGCCAGCATCCTCACGCTGGCGTCGTCTACGGCGGGCATGAGCCTGGGCGGTGCCACGAGCAGCCGCGGCCACCACCATGCGCCTAGCCTCGGCGGAGCCAGGAGCATCGGCGGCAGTCTGATGGGCGACAGGAGGAACAGCAGCGACACGGCAGCATCGCTCAAGGCTCTGCCTCCGCTGAGCAGACGCGGAAGCGACGAGAGCTCGCGCACACGCGAGTCGGTGGCAGCTAGCTCCACGGGTCAGAACTCGCACCAGGCCATGTTCGTCGGCGTGGCAGCACCAGGTGCACCGGGAGACAGGGTCAGCCTGCACAGGACGCCGTCGCAAAAGACGGTGGCGACGCAGATGTCGGTGCCTCTGTCGACCAGCGCGTCCAACGCGGCAATCAATGCGTACGCCAAGAGCGAGCATACGACGAATGGAAGCCAACTGCATCTGGTCACCCCTCCTGCGGCAGCGCAGACGACCGGAGAGGCAGAGGCTGACACGGCCGTCACGCCTGGTGCGTCGCCCAAGACGGTCGATGAGGCGGCCGTGCAGACGAGTGCCGACCAGGTCAAAGCCCAGCTTGCCGAGCCCAAGACGGATAGCCTCGAGGTCAATGTCGCTGCCACCGAGACATCCTAGCGAGCTCATCACCATTCCGTTCTTTTCAATTCATCTTCAGTTCAAGCCGAACTCGTGTCTGTGTTCGGAGCAGAGTGGCTGAGCATTCGTGTGTAGGATGTGTCTAGAAGTACAAGCTGGCGGCGAAGACAATGTCGCGTCGGATGCGCGCCTGGGCGGCTTGGATCTTGTCTCCGAGGTCGCGGTCGCCGATGACACGCGCGGCGTCTCGGATCTCTCTGCACGTCTCGTCGAGTCTCGTGATGACACGTACGATGCTTCCCTCCTGGATGTCGGTCATGGCTGCAATCGTGGCAAAGTCGGTCCCCTTGGCCCACTCGTACACCACATTGACAAGCGCAATCTTGCTCGGCACTGTAAAGTCCTCGCTTGCGAGGCTGTTGGACAGCTGCACGGCCGAGACGCGTTCGGCAACGCCGATGATCTGCTCGTACCCCTGCGCCAGGCGCGGTGGCAGCTCGGGGATATCGTCCGTCTTCTCCTGCGCCACAAAGATCGATAGCAGCGCCACGAGCTCTTCGGGCTCGTACTCGACCAGCACGTTTTCCAGGATGAGTTCCGTGAGCACGAGCTCGTTGGCCGAATTCACCTCGCACGCAACGCGGCCCTTGAGAAGCACCGACTCGGTGACAGGGTCGATGTAGCGCAACGTCTTGAGCACGTTCACGCGCTGGTGATAGTCCGGCAGCAACTCGAGGTTCTCGTCCGACTGCAGACGCAGCAGCCTCTCGAGCTCCAACGTCACCTCCTTGTACCGAGCCACCATGGCATACTGCTTCGTGAATAAAGCATCGGACCGGAGCGACGTGTGCTGCTGCGTCTTGAGCGCGTACGAATCGCGCGCGCGCACGGCTTCCTGGAAGTCCAAGCGACGGAGCTTGCTCCACTCGGCCTCACGAATCGTCTCGGCGGAGCAAAAGTCGCTGCGGACGGCAACGAGCGCCTCGAGCGCACGATTCATCGCACTGATGCGATGCGCCATGATCAGCGGCACATCGAGCTTGACCATCTGGTCGGTCGCGAGCGCAATGCTGCTGAGCGGCACCTCGCGCAGGTCGTACACCAGCTCCGCCTCGATCGGCTCGATGCGCGGCGGCCACAGCGGCGGCACGCCCGCATCCGACACAAGCTGGTCCAGATCCCCACGCTTGCGCTCCGCCGTCACCGCAGCAAGCACGAGGAACTCTTTCGCAGACACTTGCCTCACCACCGCCGCCACATCAAAGTCAAAGTGCGCATCGCGCAGCACGACGACCCTCCCAGCAGCAAAGTTCTTGGCTCCTTGCTGGTGGCTCAGTGCAAGCTCAAAGAGCGACTGGTTCGACGCCACCACCGCCGCGCACAGGTCGTAGTACGTTGCGAGCTGTGCGTCCAGCTCGTCGGGCTGCGGATGCGGAAGTCTGGAAAGCTGACGCTCGAGCTCTTGAGCTTTGCGCTGCTGGTCCGGCAGCATCTTCTGTGCAGCGTTCTCCGAGAAGCTGCGCTTGATCATCTCCTCGACCTTGAGTGCCTCGACGCGCAGCAGGTTGAGGATCATGTTGTACGTCAGCCGGAACTGCGACTGCAGCTTGGTGGGCTGGCCCAGCAGCATCTTGTGCAGCACCGCCGTCTCGGGCAGCTGGTCCGCCGCGTTGATGATGACCACTCCCGTGGGGTCGAGGCCACGACGACCGGCACGGCCGGACATCTGCGTGTACTCGCCAGGCAGGAGCTCGCGGAAGCCGTGTCCGTCGTGTTTGCGGATGCTGGAAAACACCACCGAGCGCGCGGGCATGTTGACGCCCATGGCAAACGTCTCGGTTGCGAACAGAACCTTGACCAGGCCGCGCTGGAAGAGCAACTCGACGATCTCCTTGACGATAGGAAGCAAGCCGCCGTGGTGCACGCCAATGCCACGCCCGAGCAGGTCGCGCATGCGCTTGATCTGCGGCAGCTCCTTGTCGCTCCCCTTGAGCCGCGTGAGCGACTTTTCGATCACAATGTGCACCTCGGACCGGTCCTTGGCCGTGTTCAGATCCGTGTTGGGCATGCTCGTCGCATATTCTTCGCAGCGCTTCTTGGAAAAGACGAAGACGACGCAGGGCAGCAGGTCTTTTTTGCGTAGTTGGCCCACCAGGTGAATCCAGAGGTTCTTGTCCAGGCCTGTGCGTACCGTGGTGGTACTTGGAAAGCCACCTCGACCGCCACCTGCGCCGCCCCGACCCCGGCCTGCTGCACCGCGTGCGGGCGTCATGCCACCACGGTTTCCTCTGGAGTTGGAGCCGGCTGCACCACCGCCTCGACCGCCGCGTGCGGCTCCGCCCCCGGCCGCTGCGATGGCCTCGCGATCCTTCTCCTGCTTGCGCTTGAGCGCCTCGCCGGCGTCCTTGATGCCCGTGCCCAGGAACTGCGCACGCGCATCAACCACCTTGAACATCTCTTTGCCCGCGTATAGAAAGTGCTCGAGAGGTACAGGTCGCTTGGGCGTGCTGATGACGTAGATGTCCTTCTTCTTGGTACGTCCCACCCAGTCGGCGAACTCCTTGGTGTTGGGAACGGTGGCCGACAGCAGAATGAGGTTGATGTGCTGCGGGCAGAGGATGATGACCTCCTCCCAGACGACGCCGCGTTCCTGGTCGTTGACGTAGTGCACCTCGTCAAAGATGACGAATTCGACGTCGCGGATGAGGTCGGCACCGCGGTAGAGCATGCTCCTCAGAATCTCGGTGGTCATGATGAGGCACGGCGCTTCCGGGTTGATCTGTACATCACCAGTGAGGATACCGACGTTGGCCGCACCGAATGTCTGCTTAAAGTCGCGGTATTTTTGGTTGGAAAGAGCCTTGATGGGCGAGGTGTAGATGCAGCGCGTCATGTGTTTCTGCGCGAGCGCGATGGCGTATTCGGCAACCACAGTCTTGCCCGCACTGGTGTGGGCGGCGACAAAGACCGAATCGCCCTGCTCGAGGTGGTACACGGCCTCCTTCTGGAACGTATCGAGCTCGAAGGGGAACGCATGTGCCATCTGCGGGACGAGCTCGTGGAAGTTGGTCAGCTGCTGGTTGACGTCGACGACGTGCGCCCAATCGCGCTTGGCCTCGATCTTGGCGCTGCGCCTGGCGTGCGCCAGTGGCTGAGGACGCTCAACTGGCAGGAGCTCATCAAGCTCGGCGTCTTGTGCGTTGCCAGACGATGCAGCAGCGGCGTCTCCGTTGACCTGGGTACGGCGCGAGGAAGCACCCGGCCGTTGCTGCTCGATGGGGCGATATACCGGGATGGGGGCCAGGCCGAGACCGACATCCAGAGCTTGAGATGCATCCTGCACCTTTGCAGAGGCCGAGGCGCCCTGGTCGAGATCATCGTCGCCTTGAGGCGTTTCCACAGTCGGGTCGATGAAGGTTCGACTGAGGCCCGGGGCTTTCGAGCAAAGGCCCCTACCCGACCTCAGCGTCTCTTCCATGTCGGCAATCTGCGAGCGCATAGCTTCCGAAAGACCTTCTCCAACCGGATCGGTCTCATCGGTCTTCATTACCTCGTTCTCGAGTCCACCGGGGGCGAAGGGGACGTAGGCCGACTTGCCGCGCACGAAGTTGCTGGACGCCGCGGGCTTCCTGGCCATCGAGGCAGAGGATTTGGAGTCGAGAAGAGGCGCAGAGGTGTGCGATACTTCGCGGTACGACACGATACGGCCGTCCAGACCAGCACGCACGAACTCGAGCGAGTGGAGTGACGTGCTTGGTTCGGCCCAGAGCATGTGGTCGAGCTTGGGTTTGCGAGACCAGTGCACCTGAGCGCGCGTCAGCTCTGCGGCCGAAAGCGATTTTGATGGAAGGAGAAAGTCGTCGACGAGTGCCTCGACAGTGTCCTCTAGGTCGGACGCTGGGAGACTCGGCTTTTGTCCTACCGAGCTTCGCATGGCTGCCACGGTGCGGTTGTAGGCGTCGATGGTATCGGCGGCACCGTTCGCGCGAGCTGCCATGGCTGCGAGTTGTTTACGTTGCAACGAGGACAAGAGGTTTCGCTGGCGATGAGGTGGTTGTGACAAAGATGAAGCTTCCGAATCCGCTGTCGAGAGCGCCTTCGTAAAATCGGCGTCCGAAGAGTGGAGGCGAAGACATGAATGACACAAGCTCCCGCCGGGCGTAAAATCGGAAGTCGGACGAGGCTCGAGAAGATTGTGCGTCAGTGCGGAGAAGAAGGCCGCAAGCTGACGCCAACTGAGCCGCTCCCCACACTCGAGCTCTCTCCACCAAGCCGTTTCGCAGTCAAGACACAATGAGGGATCCTACCACTTGCACCGTCCTCTACAAGATCCTGACTCCGCAGGAGAAGGATGCGCTCCCTGCCACCAACTGGGCCGGGACCGCTCTTGATGTAAGTTCATGCAGTCTGGTTGGTCGGAATGCGCCGCTGAGCTGACACGACGCTTGCTATAGACCAAGGACGGCTTTATCCACCTCTCGTCGGCAGATCAGCTCGCTGGTACACTGGAACGCTTCTTCAGCCCTGCGACTGGCTGCGGCGACACTCTCTACCTCTACACTTTCGACCGAGCTACCGTGGACAAGCCGCGTGAAACGCCCATCAAGCTTCAATTCGACCCGGCGATCGGCACTTTCTTCGGCCACATCTACGGCGTAAGCTTCTCAGACATTATCCTTGATCGCTGTGCACATTCTGATCTCTCCTTCTGTCGCGTCTATGCCATTAGAGCATCAACCCGCAGTCGGACTTCTCGGACCCCATCGAGATCAAGCGTTCCAGCTCCTCGGGTCTCTTCGAGCTCCCTTCCCTGCAGTTTTGATCAGGAGCATGACAGGCAATTCTCAACGATACTGATACAATACTGTTGATTCTGAGTGGTATCCAATGTCATTAGAGTCCTATTCTATCGTGAGCAAGTAGCAGAGAATCGAGTGGTCGAGTGGGGATGTCGTCACTTTTTGTTCTCGGGATGTTCGTGCTCGGCGTTGCTTTCGAGCTCTTCGAGCTTGTTCTCTGCCGCACTCTTTTCCACCTGCAGACGCGCACGACGCAAGTCCGCCCTCACCCATTCGGGGAATTCCATGCGCTCCATAAGCATGGGGATGTGGTGCGGCAGGAACAGCATGCGGTCGTCTTGAACCTTGGGCACCACGGCATCCTGTGGCTTGTCAGAGGCCTCTGACGTCTCCGTCGGTGGAGGCGGAGATGTCTGAGCAAAGATCTCGTCGAGCTCCTTGCTTTCTGTAGGTTGCACGCGGTCCTGACTGATCAGCGTAGAGAGATACTGAGACGACTTGTACGCTGTAGACAAGGTTGCATCGATACGAGAGCAGGTGAGAGAGACTGTGTCAGCCGTTGTGGACGGCGATTGAGATGATATGAGCCGTTGCAGACCTACCTTTCCAGTGACTGAAAGCCCTGTACACCAGATAGAAGAACGGCAGATTTGGTACCACCGCTGAAAGCAAAGATACGGGAGCAAATGAGCCAGCGTTGTGTCAAGGATGAAAGCTCGCAACTAGTGAAGGCATCGTACTTACGAACAAGCGCGAAGGGGATGGTGATGGGCATTCCCACGACGCAGTACCAGAAACGACGGTAGTGATGCGGCGTGCGGTGATCTGTTAAGTTCTTGAGGCTCTTGAGAAGCCTTTGTGGTTCGAGCAACGAGGGTGGGTATAGCAATGGAATGTGATCGAGCTTGGGGATGCCGGTGTCTGCGGCAGCCACGTCGGCTTGCTTTGCCTTTGACTCGTGGCGAAGGGGTCCCATTGCAGGATCGATTCCTTTGAGGGCCCATTCCTGGTACTCGATGCGGTCCATGAGGCGCTCGCCGAGGACGTAGGTTCTGCGCTTCCAGTCAAAGGTGCTCGTCTGGTCTGTGCGACCGAGGTCGATCCAGAAGGCTGACGCTTTGTTGAGGAGGCGTGTGCTGAGTGGTGGTTTGGATGCGTCGTTCTGCTGCTTTGCTGCGGCAGCCGCTGCCGCCTTCTCGGCTGCTCTGGAGGCGGTCTGGGCGACAAACGTCGAGATGGGATGCGAAGATGGCCTCGCCCGTGCAAGGGGCACTGCTATGAGCCGCATGATCACGGGATCTGAGGGTCGCGAGCCACAACAAAGATCGCTGGCTTGTTCTTGTGCAAAGACGGCTGATGTGCGCCAAGACAATGTCGAGCCGTGAGTGCGTTGAGTTGACAAGCGCAGTGGAAATGGTGGATGTGTAGATGGAGTCAATAGTGGAAGCCCAGGATACTGCCACTGCAGCTGGCGAATGGAGATGCACGTGCAAAGAGCGACATCCGCCTCAACTGCCGCCCCACTCAACGTCGTCATTTTTGTGATTTCCCTCAGCTCTGGCTCTGGCAGGCTGTGCCTCGACGCGAAACAGCGCAAATTTCCGGAAGAAATATTCCACTCTCAGACCAACTTGAGAGCGCCAGCCTGGCTCTCTACGGTATTATTTTTAGGACTCGCCCGGCTGTGCATTTGGCTCAGCAAGACCCGTTTTGCGCGTTGGGAGCGAGATGTCTCTCGCACAGCAAGGCTGGTCACGCTCATCAAAGCATCCGCTTTGACTGCGCGAGGTTATGAAGCCAAAGCAATGGCATCTCTTCGCCGTCAATCTGAAGTCAAGCAAGTCGATGAAGGTGCACGGATGCGGGCATGACAAAGCTGCTCTGCAACGCCCGCATTTCTTTTTGATTTTGGCCTGCAAAGCCTCCACATTTCGACTCGAGTTGGGCCGGCCGTTGGAGGCTAAAATCACGTGAATTGCTGCGCCGCGTCGCGGTGTTGGCTTCAGGAAACACGCCGAGCGTTGCGAGTTTGATGCATTTGGCGGTTGGGATCTTACATTGCTCGGCGAGGCCAACGCCTCACTCGTCGTGCCATCACTTCAGTCGACCATCCATCTATCTCGACCGCCTTGACTTCCCATCCACCGCCGAGTCGTCGTCTCTATAGCGCCACTTCATCATCCGTCTCTTTGAAAAGTCATTTGGCGCTTTGACTCGGCGCGACATACATCCGCGACCCCTTTCGGTGCATCTTGGCATCCGACCAACACAGCTCCCGTCAGGATGCCGACCAAAAAGGCGACACGCTCAACTCGCTCGACACGCAGTACAAAAGCATCGTCCAAAGCTGCATCTTCCGATGCCGCATTTGACGAGAATACATACGCATCTGATGTTCCTGAAGCTGCCAACCTCAAAACAACCAAATCAGCTGCTGCGTCCAAAAAGGTTCTTGGAGAGCGCAACGCCAACAACACCACCGAGCCAAGTCCAGTCGAGGAGCTCGCTCAGCCGCCAGCCACCAAGACCACCAAGTCAAAACGTGGGAAGAAGAAAGCGGTGCAAGACATTGATACAGCAAAGCAGTCCACAGATTCGCGCTGCACAACACCAGTCCCGTCTTCGCCCACAAAAAAGCGTCTGCCAGAGGATCAGGTGCAGGCGTGCTTGCAAAACTATGATCTGGAATGCCAGGCTCGCATGTCCCGCCTCCGAGCTTCGCTCGAGATGTCGCTGCAGTCGTCCATGACGCGCATGCGTCTGGCGATCGAGCGCATCCCGCGTGCCGTGCGCGAACTGTCGCTGGCCACATTCATCGACGAGTACGGCGCCGACATCCACGCATTCATGGGGCGTGCTCCTGTGCAGCATCTTCAGGATACTCAGAAGGAGTGGGATCAGATGAGAGAGGAGCGCTCACCAACCAAAGCCAAGCGCACCAACAAGGACGACGAGGCCACCGCTAAGAACCAAGACCGCAGTTCCAAGGCTGCTCGCACAGCCAATGCCACGGCATCCTCAACAGCCTCGCGAGCCACCGCCACCAAGGCAAGCGCCGCCAAGGCCAGCTCGGCTGCCGCTCGCCAAAAAGCGACGCGGTCCACCAAGCCCAGCCTTCGCTCCACACGCGCATCGGCAGCAGCCCCCTCTTCTCCACCGCCCTCGACGTCGTCCAAACCTGCGCCGAGCCTGGCTACCTTCCAGCCCGAGCTGCCTAAACAAGCGCTGCAGACTCCCAAGCCGCGCATGGCTCGGCCGGGCGAGGTGATCCAGTGGACCAGCATCAACGGCTCGCCCATTTGCGGCATCATCGGCGAAGACGGCGTCGTCCGTCCCGTCTCCTTTGCCTAGCCTCGCTCTCCTTTTCTTTCCCTCGCCTCAGTCTTCTTTTGTCACACACTGCAATCATACCCCAGATCCATGCTCCCTTCCGCCACGCCTGGTCCTTCGATGAAACATGGATGAAATTGCTCGAGTTTGACTGCGACAAAATGGCAAGGGACAATGCAGAGGAAAACGGACAACATGATGGGGTGCGGGAGGCGGGGGTAGGGTGGTTGAAACACGGTGTCACTTTGGGGTTGCGGCGCTGAGCCGATGAGCTCGTGAAGGTTGGATGCGGTTGGTTGCGGTCGATTGCGTTGATCGGCTGATCCGAAAGGCGTTGGGCAGTGTGGCTTAAGCATACGCTCCATGCACGTGAGTGCGCATGCTGGCGGGCAACTCTTCTCCCTCACCAGCCTCGTCGTCTTCGGCCTCGGGCGAGCCAGCAGAGAGCTCCTCGTCCGAATCCGAGTAGGCGACATTCTCCTCGGGCTGCGACGACGGGATGGCCTCAAACTCCAGAAAGCCCGACGACAGCTCGTCCTCCGACGATGGCCGGATGGGCCTCTGGACGCGCATGATGAGCGCGTCAATGTCCACAAAGTGCACCTCGTTGGTGGCAAACTTGCGGTGTTTGCGGTCGTAGATGTGCTCGGTGAAATCCTCGTACTTGACGCGGCAATTTTCGCAGTAACCTGGCTTCTTGGCGGATGGCGGTCGATCGACGGCACTTGTGCTTGCGCTGCGCTGCAACGCCATGCCCGGCGCTCGCTGGTCCTCCAGACCCAGCATGCGACGCACCGTGGCGCCCGACTCGGCACCTCGCTGCGCAGCAGGACTTCCCATCGCTCGGCTGCCTCCCTCGCGGTGCAGACCAAGCCCGCTCGCCGTCGTGCTACCCGCTATCACGCTCGCAGGACTCGCGTTGAGCAAGTGCGAAGGGCGGCTGTATGTGTTCGACATGTGCACGCGCCGATTCAGCTCCGCCACACGTCGGTTCTGCGGCAGCCCCACCGTCGCGCCCGTCTGCTGATCCGTAAAGATGTTGGATGTGGTCGAGGCAATGTTCGAGGTGATCGAGACGCTGTTGCCCGATGCCAGCGGATTCTCCTGACGCTTCATGTCGATCGCGCCGAGCTGGGCAGCTTGGGGACGCATAGCAGGACCCAGGTTGGATCGAGCCATGTTGTTGAGCGACACGGCGCGACGAAGGCTCTGCGGCACTTCCAAGCGAAGAGTACCGACGTCCTCTCCGTCTCTTGGCTTGACAGTGTTGCGTTTGGGCGGATAGAAGGTAAACGGACATCGCCCCAGCGTCTCACCGTACACGACAGGCCAAGGAGGCTTAGCTCCTTCCGCCTTTTCGTCGTCGGTGTAGGTATACTCGTGGGTGATGATCGGGCGGTGCTCCATGGTTGCATCCTCCACCAAGATGTAGGCCGAATGTTTGTCGAAATAGTGGAACGACGATCGCGCTGCAGTAGGGTCGCGCTCGGTGGTGCCGTACACCTTTTCCATCTGGAGCATCTTGGACAAGTTCTTCTTTCTGGGGCCTTCAAGGTCGCGCATCGAGAGGTTCAGAAGGCGCACCACAACATTCTGCAGCTTTTCCAGCTGCCAGATGCGCATACCGAAAGACTGGGCCTTGACCAGCATGTCTTGCGGGCCGTACTGGCCCCTGGGTGGTTCCTGCAACGGATTGCGTTCGGAGAACAGTGGGACGGGGCGCGCGCGACTTGAGTTGCCACCAGCCTTGGCCGAGGCGGCACGCGAAGCCAGAAAGCTGGGGCGGAACAACTTCTGCGCCGACAGCCGTTCAGCATTGCAGCCGCCCGCCGACGTGATTGGCTCTCTCGCCGCTGGCTCTCGCAGCGTTGGCTCTAGCGGTGCTGGCTCCCCCGGCGCACCCTCTTCAGGGACTTGGCGCGTGGTGATAACGTGGGTGACGCGCCGCGAGAAGAACTGGTCGACGTGACCGCCGAGCTCCAGGATGAACTCGCCATACCTCTTTGCCGAGGCGGCGTCAACCGAATCAAAGTGGAAGATGAAGTTGGGAAAAGCGCGTTTGTACTTTTGACGCCAGATCTCGTTCTCGGTCTGCCTTCGGCGAGACTCTTGTACGACCTCTTGCGAGGGCTCCTGCACCTTTCGGTTGGTCTTGACCGATGTGGCGTGCGCCAGCGCGAGAGTCTGCTGCGAGGCGCGAACGCGGTCCATCGACGCATGTGCGTGGGCAGACTGTGACGCTTTCCTCGCGTCTTGCACCCGAATGCCATTGAGGTCGGTGGCGAGAGCGCCGCTTACGCTCTGTTCGGCATTGCTGCTGTCGGTTCCAGTTCGGGAGGACCGACTGCGTTTGCTTGGGCTGTCCAAGACGACATTGCGGACGTGCGACTCGTCGATGGGGATGGCGCGCTTCTTTGGCGTGGCGATGCCATATTGGGGGAGAGTGTTCTCCTGGTTCGATCGGTCTACGCCGAGATGGGAGCGGGCGATAAAGTTGGGTAATGCGGATGCGGATGCGGTTGCACGAGGACGAGGAAGGCCGCTGGCGCCCGGCACTATCGATCCGCGAAGCGCTTGTTGAGCCGCAGGCTTGCTAAGTAACGAGGCATCACGGGGCAGTGCGCTTTGTGTCGATGTGTTCTTGACGCTGAGCGGGATACGCGAGCTAGTCTGATCGCGAGTAGCACTCATGCCGAATCCGATACCGTTGTGCAGCTCGAGGGCTTTTACCGAGATTGGGTCAAATGGCAAGGGGACACGTCGAGGGAGCTGCGTCACGACCGCATAGACCTGAGCGTTGCCGCGCTGCGCTGGAGATATGAGATGTCGACCGACGATAACGGGTTTGCGAGTTCGAACAGGATGGAAGGGGGCCGACAATAGCGCACTCCTAGGCTGAAACGATGGCAGTCAGAAACCTCCACGGCGCGATGCCACTGCTGTATGCGTCGGAAAATGAGGTCATGCGCTGCGAGCAGCCATTCCTGATGCGCTGGAGCTCCAAAAGAAGGCAGACACGATGCCGAGGGGGATGCTATGCTATCACGGAGGCGGAGAGGTGAGGAGATGAATGCGGCGCATAGACGGGGGTTGGGATGCGGCTTCGAATGCTATTGTGTCGGCGGGTCAAGATATAGCTGGCTGAGACGGATTGTTTGGTCGATCTGGCGAGCTTGGGTTGAATGCTTTGGCGCGGGTCAAGGGTTGGACCAGTGCGGAAGATTGCCTCGAGCGGAGCTGCTTTGCGCGCGAGGAGAGCTGCGATCCGGACGTAGGAGGCCGAGAGAGCCTTGAACGCGTTGCTATCCCGCGTCTGCCGCTCGCGCACCTGTGAGTTGCCGAAGAAGATGCGCGCTGAGCGAGGAGAGGCAGGAAGGTTGTCGAGCTGGTCTGAGACGGATGGTCAACCTCGAAAGGAGAAGAAGCAGCTGGCTGAGAGAGCCACGCCCACACACACACACACACGCTGGACAGGCTCGACCTTGACGCGCACCCACCCAACAACGATTCCGAGTGCAGACCGAGGCGGCTAGGAGGCAGACAGGCGGGCAGGCGTGTATTATTTTGCAGGCGCCGTCACGCTGTCTACTGGCTGCTCACCGCGTTGTTGCTCGGCCCACTTCGAAAAAAAATCCAGAGCGCGTCTCCACACACGCTCGGCAGCGCCTCCTGTTGCCAAGCGCCATCGGGCGGCGCCTGCCTCCTGCCTCGTGCGTGCAGCAGCGAGACTTGTGTTGTCGGCGCAGCAGCGCTCCGCAGCGCTTCTACGAGCAAGCCCGCCTTGGAGCTGCACTCCTTCTAACGTCGACTTGAAAGCACACTGCAGGGTGACAAAGGTGAAACTGGCATGAGCTCAAAAAAGCCGCTCCTCGCACGCATACAGCACGCCTAGACGCTGCGTTCTCGTCACTGTGACTTTCCCTCACATCACAAGATCACTGTTGCCCGAATGCAACCTTCTCGCTGCAGCAGCAGCTGACTGCAAGCACGGCGACAGATGATCCCTGACCCCTGTCGAGGTGATCATTGGCCCCCTTGGAAGGTGCAGGCTGCATGCAGTCCACCACAGGTACGCCCTCGCAGCTCTGCGATTTCGCAGCCCAGCCTCGTGTGACATTGGAGAAGACGCGTCGCCGCGAACAACACCGCGACGTCACTCCGACCGTGATGTGACCGTGCAAAGTGGCAGTTTTCTTGGACCCTTGCATTTTCCCGCATTTTCACACCATCAAATCGGCGAATCGGAATTGCAGCGTGAGACCGATCCGATGTCGATGTTCGACTTTGCCACTCACCTCGACCTTTGTGCATCGAGACAGCCTCCCTCCGGCGTCTCTCTTTGTGAGCTCCGCGAGACAGAGTCGGAGAAGCGGTGATTAAGCATAGTATTACGAGCGACGCGACGCGACGCAAGCTAGCGAATAGTCGACAAGGGAAGTGCGGTCGTACGGTGTGACGAAGAGGAAAGCGGACCCCGCTTCGAGGGAGACAAGGAGGCGTGTGACGGAGGCAGATTCTCCTTGAACGGCGAAGACTGAGCGTCGATGGCTCGCAGCTTCTTTGAGGGACTCTCGGCCCCCGCATTGGAGGTCGCCTGTCTCTTGGACGTCGGCGACGAGCGTGGCACCGAGGACTTGGCCGCGTCCGAAGCATTGGTCGTGGTCTCGGCCAACAGCTTGTTGGCCTCGGCGATTGCGCGTGACACATTGGGAGGCGCAAGAGGCTTCCATCCGTCCTTGCCACCGAATACGCCCCATGGAGATGCATCGGGGCTCATCTTGTGGCCCTTGGGCTTGCTCGACTTCTTTCCGGAGCCAGTGTCCAGCCTGAACATAGGACGAGACTTGTTCAGCGGCGTCTTGTAGGGTTCGTTCTGCTTCTTCAGCGCTGTCGCGGTGGGTGACACCTTGACCAGAGCCGCAGAAGAGGTCGCGGGAGATCCAGTCGCCTTTTTCGCTTTTGAGCGCGTAGGTGTAGATGACGTATCCGACACCTTGGAGGCTTTGACCATGGGTGTCAGACCCGTGTGGTCGCTGTGTCCGTTCTGGCTTCGAGCTGGAGGCGATTGGTCCATGGCTCGCCCGGTCTGGAGACTCTGTGACATCTTGCGGAAAGGTGATTGTACGTTTGCTTCATCCATGAAGATTCCCAGTCCCACCAGGCCCGGTGCCTTCGGAAGAGAAGCATGAATTCTGGACATGGCAGCTCGATCCTCGTCAGAATATGGCTCCGGGCTGTGATCAAATCCCGAGTTGGGCACTGAGCGCTGAACTCCCCGGAAGGTACCCAGCGAGGACACAACACTTCCCGACTGCCAAGGACGCGTAGCAAAATGACCCCGCTCTTGGACTCCAATCAAAGGAGCACCCGGGCATCTTGGACTTCTCGCATAGCTGCTTGTGTTTGTTGTAGAGTCAAATGATGACCTTGAAGCTGCCCGAGGTGTCCTTTCACCATCGCTTGGACCGCTGAGGATCGAGTTGTGCGGAGGACTTGACGAGAAGCCTGGCGGGGACCTGATCGGACCTTTGCTCGCTGTCATAAAGTAAGGGGACAGCGGTGTTGCAGGTGGTCCAATGGAACCAGACGGACCTTCACTTGCGAATGATGGACGCCACTGGCGACCGCGCCCTGAGGAAGCGGAAGACATGGAGCCGGATCTCTGCATCTGGTCGCCCGCCTGACTTGACCTCGATGAGCCGACGCTCAGGAAGTTGCTCGAGGGTGGCGACAGGATCTCCTGATCGAATAGGTCGGTAAGGCTCGGGAGTCGTTCAGTTCGGGCTCCTGGAGAGCTGCCCGGACAGAGACTCGAGGGTGTCGAAGGCATGGCCAGATAGTGGTGACGAAGACGATCCACCGACCTTGACGAGTCACAAAAGACATCATCGGAAGAGCCTAGAAACATGGAGCTGTTGAAAGAAGGAGATGGCATGGACTTGTCATCCGACCTTCGACGTCCGAAAGAGATATTCGACGGCCTCGGACGGCCTTGTCGATTGGCTGAAAAGGATGGCATTTTTACGAAGGCTCGAACGGATTGCTGCGAGGTGTTGTTCTCCGATTGATCGTGAGCACTCTTGCACTTCAATTGAAAGAGACTGTCGCCCCAAAAATACGGATGCTGTCGAGCGATAGGCCGAGAACAAGTCTGTCAAACGGGGAAGGCGTTCGATATGTCAAGAAGAGAATAAGGAACGGTGGGGTGGTTGGATCGAAGGCGGTGAGCGGGGGCTAGGATGGTTCACAGAAGCCTTCTGTGGACACCAATCCAAGTATATACTCTTTCTCCGTCGTTCGCAATTAGCCGTGTGTTGGTATGAGCAGGCGATGCGCCGATTCCCAGAGTGGCAAGCTTGTTTTGAACCAGCCGAAACAATGTCGTCCTTCCCGCTTGAGAATGGCAAGCCATTGTCGATCGCGGAACGACAGTCATGTGGCGCGGACCAGCAGCGCCCCGAGCGCAGCTAGCCAGGGACGCTGCTTGCCAAAGACGGCAAATGAGATATCCTGCAGCCGGCTCTGAAAGGAAGGATCGACATTGTGCAGCCAAAGAGCTTTTGGCCATGTCGTCTGTGCAGCTTTAGCCGAGCTGCTCGGCAGCCGTGCTCGCCCAGAGAGGCGGAAGAAAGCAGCTGTCGACGAGCCGAGTAAACAGAAGCATCCGAGCGGAGCAGCCTTCAGGTGCCAGTCATTACGCAGGCAAGACGGGGAGGGAAAGAGAGGACAGAGGCGGCATGAGGCAAGGAGCATATCACAATTCACCTGTCGAGTTGGGCGGGCAGGCGTGCAACGCCATGCAGGCAGTCGCAATTCCGAAAAGTAAGTCTGGAATGGCATCGCGCGCCAGCCTTCGATTTCCTTGCAACCTCGACCTTGTCTGATCTTCGTGTAAGGCTGAAACCTTGTCCACATGCCTTCCGCTCTTGACAGGCATCGCTTCAGCTGCTCAGCCACCAAGGGACTGAGGCGCAGACTCCGCCTGACTCCAGAGTGCCACAACCACGCATCTGCGCCTCTGTACGAACAGCGCTCCGGTCGCCTCTCCTACGTGTCTCCGTTCGTGGGTCCCCGTCGTCTAAGAGCAGAGATCCCGACGCGAAGTTCGGAGTGCACTACCAACGATCTGCATCTTCAGGTGGACCATGGAAGCGACGAGCGACGGGCGGCTATGCCTGCCTTGTGTTGACCGGTCCTCCAGTACCTGCTTTGACCGCAGACTCAATCGACTGCGAAGTTGCGAGGCTGCAAAGCTGCGAAGTTTCCACGGCATGCGCCGTCTGGCTGCCGCGGGAATGCAGCACACATGTTTGGCGGGCAATTTCAGATTCCTGGCCAGATGGCCCGATCGTCGAAACCTCTGAACACGATCCAACTGAGATCTCCAGCTCCAGCTTTATCGCTCTGTTACATCTTCGCTCTCCAGTTTTCGCTCGGAAGTTTCGCAGGCTCCCCGGGGTGTTGATCTCGAGTTACACGTCGATGCGAATTCGGATTGTCATCTACAACCAAGAATAAAAACTGTCATTTCAAAGTTGATAGTGCTCTTATTTGAACATGAAATCCGCTCGACGCGCAGATCCTGCTGCGCCGAGGGCACTGCAGGGGAGCTGCTAGGAATTTGGAAGGCCACGCCGGCCCACTTGCATCGCCACGATATTCAGCGACGCGAGCCAGCCAGCAGTCAGTCCCAGGCTTCGGATTTTGGCCACAGAAAGTGGGATTTGCAGGCCGAGGCGGGTAGAGTCGAGTCGAGTTGCCAAAGCAGAGGGGCCGAGGGCGCCGGCCAGCAGGATGCACGCTCGTCTCGCTGCCCCCCCCCCCTCAAGGCACGCTGACACGCACGCATGCCCGCACGCTCGCGCCTTCGCCTTCTCTGAGTTTCGCGGGCCAGGGAGAGCAGTGTGCCAGTTGCGCTTCGTCGCCATCACCCACGACCATCATCTTCATCGACCCGATCATCCCTTGCCGTCGCTGTCGATTCGTCCTCACCCGTCCTTCGACTCATCGATTCACCCTCGTTCCTCGTGGGTATCATCACCTCTCGTTCCACCTCTCGTTCCACCTCGCGGACCGCTTGCGCACGCATCTACCCAACGACTCTGCACGCGGCGGCCACGATCGTCTAGCCCGACTCTTTTGCTGACCTTGCCAACCCATCTCGATCTGTTCAAACCTCCGCGCGACTTCGTTCTGCAGTAGTCACCCTTCTCGGCGTAGAGAAACTTCCTTCTCAACATGGGCATGTCCATTTCAAAGCTGCTCTCCGGCCTCTTCGGCAAGAAGGAGATGCGTAAGTAGACATCAGCTTCTCGACACATCGGCTTCAGCACCAGCAATCGACCCCGCGCCCCCCATCTTCCGCCGCTCTGCTGTACTCTGTGTGCACGGCTCGCCTCGGATCGCAAGCTGCCAGGTGTCGACTCTGATAAGAGTTGACGTGCTGCGATCTTCAGGAGCGCATCAGAAGCATCGGAGCCTCTTGTGGTCGATTGCTGCATCGCCGATAGTTGCGTGCTCTTTGCTGCCGACGCATCTGCTCACCACCTTAGTTTCTCGTTGTGCGTTTGCTCTATCTCGCCTCGCTTTCTTGCTCGATAGGAATTCTCATGGTCGGACTCGACGCCGCCGGTAAGACCACCATTCTCTACAAGCTCAAGCTCGGAGAGATCGTGACCACCATCCCCACCATCGGTAAGTAGCCCAGGAGCGTCCAGCGACGGACGGCTTCAGCATCGCTCCTCTTGTGGCCGGTTTGACTGACACGTGTCAATTCATGCGTGGCACTGCGCGGCTGCTCCGCACTCACAGGCTTCAACGTCGAGACCGTCGAATACAAGAACATCTCGTTCACCGTGTGGGACGTCGGAGGACAGGACAAGATCCGACCCCTCTGGAGGCACTGTAAGTTGCACCTGCTTACCTTCGCTGCTCCTGCCAGCGTGCATTGTCGCTGACCCCAAACGTTCGCCTACTTTGCAGACTTCCAAAACACCCACGGCATCATCTTCGTCGTCGACTCCAACGACCGCGAGCGTGTGTCCGAGGCGCGCGAGGAGCTTCAGCGCATGCTCAACGAGGACGAGCTGCGCGATGCCCTGCTGCTCGTCTTCGCCAACAAGCAGGATCTGCCCAACGCGATGAACGCTGCCGAGATCACGGACAAGCTCGGCCTGCACAGCTTGAGACAGCGACAATGGTTCATCCAGGCCACCTGCGCCACCAGCGGTGACGGTCTCTACGAGGGTCTCGAGTGGTTGAGCACCAACCTCAAGAGGCGAGCTTAAACGGCACGCACAAGCAACAGCTTTGGCCTGATCAGCCCGTGGCTTGCCTAGCAAGGCCGACGCCCTGGTGCTGTACAGCCGTATGAGCGTTGTCTGTCTTGCCGTTGCATCCGCTTGAATCTAGAACACGAACCCTGGTCACCCTCACCACCACCAACGTCATCATCACCTGCTGCCGTGCTTTGAATCACAATCACTTGGACAAAGCCCTGCGAGCGCAGGACTGAAAATGTGGATAACCCCGCTCCGACCTCTGGCCGTCGACGCATTCTTCTGGCCCTGTGCGTTACTTGAATCGAATCAGAACGTTCCCAACCCAGAATGCTGCGTGGCTTGCCGCCTGATGATGGCGTAAGGTTGAGACGCGGGGCAAAGACGAGCCGGAATCGTGTGACTGTGGGCATTGCGACAACCTTGGCTCAGAAGCGCACGCTCTGTGGGGCATCGACCCCGTCGAGAGAGCTGACGCAGCGGTGGTGCCAGTCTCATGCGGGATATCCGGAACGCATACATTGCTAGAAAGGACCGACATCTAAAAGGACCTGCCATGTTCCTACTCGGCAGCAGCGTGGAAGAAAGAACCTCAGGAAGTCCGTGGCAAAAGCTGTTCGGCGTGGCTGGCCAACTTGTGCGGGGGGTGACCGCATGCTTCTTGATTGGTTGATGGCATTTATCTTCAGATCGGCATCGGGCGGTATCAAGAAGGCCGGTAGCACTTCATCGCGGATGAGAGAGAGTGAGGCGCTGTGGTGCGGATGCTTTCGGTGCAGCTCGTCGAGGGCCCAAGATGCAGCTAGGGCGGATGACCTGCGACGGATGCTCGGATGCGCCGAGGAGCTGAGCTCAGAGAGTGTTGCTCTCTGCCGCGTCAGAGGCGAGTGGAATTGCGGGCAGACCGCCCTAACGGCAGACACGCAGGTGAGTCGCGTGCGGCAGCAGCCAGCCTTATCTCCTCCACCTGGCGTGACCTGGCAGAGTGCGCGAGTGCCTCTGAGCCGCATGCCGGTGCATCCGATTCAGGGTGCAGTGCATCTGATGCGGAGTGGCGCCCGTTAGTTAACTCAACTGATCCGTGCCCACAAGCCCCTCTCCAGCGCTGGTCGCTCCTGCTCCGACCCTGGCTCAGTTGCCCGCATGTTCTAATCAGGGCGATGACTATAGACCGATGTTCGAGCTGCCCAAGCCAGCCAGTGTGTACACGTTGCCCCCCCTTGAAGCGCTCACAAAGGGTCCTGGGGTCGAGGAGGTGCCCGACCATCCGAACCGGCCGTCGTTATCACAGCCTCGTCTCCTCTTCTCCACGACCGTCGACTGCAGCTACTACTTAAGCTGCTTCTAGCCTCTGCCAATCTCGTCCTTCGTCTCCGTCCGAATCGCCTCGTTACCGTCACATCCGCTTCGTCTAGCAACACGGCCACTGCCTTCAGCGTACTCTGGAACTCCAAGCACCTGGGACATTGTCGCTCCTTGCAGCCTCGTCTCGTCTCGTCTCGTCTCGTCTCTTCCTTGGTCGCCAAGATGACCACGTCCACCGACCAGATCCTGTCGCGCATCCTTGACGAGCTCACCGAGCTCAAGGTCAAAAACTCGCATCTTGAGGCCAAGGTAGGTTCCCGTCGGGTTGTCGCTGAACTCCGAGCATTGAGTCGAAAAAGCGAGCTGATCGTCTTTCTTGCACCTTTGTCTGTGTCTCGCGGTCGACCAGGTCGATGCGCTGCAGAATGCAGCGACC